TGTCAGGTGTATATACATAAAGTCAAATGAGCAAACGTTTTCGATTATCAGCCTGGCCAAGCTCAGGAAAAATAAGAAAATGCTAAAATATATATATTATATTTATATACAGTGTTTTTGTTTCCCCGACATATTGTTTACCACAAACATTACAATATATTAGATTAGAAGAAGAAGAAGAAGAGGAGGAAGAGAAAGAGGAAGAGGAAGAGGAAGAGGAAGAAGAAGAAGAAGAAGATTTATAAAGCGCACAAATCCACTGCAGTAGTTCTCAAGGCGCTACAGGGAGGAACAAAGCTACAAGAAAAGAAACACCATACCCATCACCACACCGTTTACAGGCAATTTAAAGCACAGGGCCCGCCTATTCATTACTCACAGGTGCTCAAGTAATGGGAGTATCTAACTAAAACAATTAAGCAAGCAAGCAAAACAAACCGGAGAACTAGGAAAAAGCTGCCAACAGCAGATGCGTCTTGAGAGCTTTTTAGAACAAAGCAGTAGACTGACACGAGCGAATATTTATTGGCAGTTTATTCTAAAGGCGTGGAGCCGCAACAGCAAATGATCGATCACCCCATGAAAGTGTAGACCTGGACTCAACAAGCAGAAGTTTGTCAGTACCAGAGCGGAGAGTTCGCGATGGCACGTACCATAGAAGCATTTCACGAATATACCCAGGACCTTCATCTCTCAGAGTCTTAAAAGCAATGAGCAAAATCTTGAAAATGCTCCTGAAAGAAACAGGTAGCCAGCGAAGTTCTTGTTGAATCGGTGTGATGTGCTCAAATTTCTTTGTTCCTGTAATGATCCTAGCAGATGTATTCTGCAACAGTTGGAGGCGATGCAGGGATCTCATAGAAATACCAAAAAAGAGAGAATTCCCAAAGTCAAGATATGAATTAACGAATGCATGAATCAGTTATGCTGTTGCTTTCCTTGAGAGGTACTTCCTAATCCTTCTTATATTGCGCAAGTGATATGTTGAGGAGCTAGTAATTTTAGAAATATGCCTATTCAAGGTCATTGAAGAATCAAGTGTAATACCCAAATTCTTAACTTGAGGTACCTGATCGATCTGACATTCACCAATGTTGAAGTGGAGGTCTTGGCATTTCTTCCTTTGTTGAGGTTAACCGAAGATGATGAATTCAGTCTTGTCCTCATTTAGTTGCAGAATGTTTTCAGACATCCAGGTCTTCAACTCAAAAATACAATTTTTGAGAGATTCTACATTTACATCAACTTCCTCAGAAGGTTTGAAGGAAATATAGATCTGTGTATTATCAGCAAAAATATGGTAAGACAAGTTGAACTTTGATACAATTTCACGAATTGGTAGCATGTAGATTGTGAATCACTGAGGTCTCAATTGAGGAACGGAATAGTCAAGACAGAAAAAGTCAGACACAGAGTTCCCAACATAAACTCTTTGGGGACGACGAGAAAGGTAAGAGGAGCACCAGCTTAGAGCGTCTCCTTCTAGACCTAAATAATGCTTGAGGCGATCTAATAGTAATGTGTGATCAACGGTATCAAATGCAGCGCTACGATCCAATAAAATGAGTGCAGTGAGTCGTCCTTTATCCATCTCGTGAAGAATATCATTAGAGACACGAAGTAGTGCAGTCTCAACGCTGTGGTGTGGCCGGTATGCGGACTGAAAATGATCAAGTAAATTGTATGCATTAATATGATGAGCGAGACGTCTGGAAACAAGGCGTTCAATCGTCTTTCCAAGGAACTTCAAGTTTGATACTGGTCTGTAATTTTTGAATTCCTCATGATCTAAACAAGACTTCTTAATTAGAGGTCTGATATGACAAATCTTCAGAGCATCGTGAAAATTTCCCTCCTGCAGACTTCTGCAGGAGGGAAATTAGTGTGAGGGAATTAATGTGATGGTAAAACAACATGAAGACAGCTCTTTAACAGAGTAGTAGGGATGAGATCAAGGTCAGATGATGATTTTCATGGTGAACTGCTAATAATTGATCTAATTTCATCTTCATCAGCAAGCTTTAATTCCAACAAAGGGAGTCTATTTGCAGGAGCATCAACCGATCCTAAAGCAACTTCATAGAGGTTGTCATTAACAGTCAAAGCATCACGGATAGTTTAAATCTTATTGACGAAGAAGTCAGCAAAACTGACAGCAAGAGCTTTATCGGAGTCAAGGGTTGGCAATACAGGTGTGGTTCTTTTCTGCATTAGCTCATCAAGAACTGCAAATAGTTTCTTTTGATCACCATTAGAGTGCGCAATCTTAGTAGAATAGTAAGCAACCTTTGCCTCTTCAATCAAAGTGTTAACAACACGCCTTTGCCTACAGCAGTTTTCTCTGTCGATACTACGTTGACTACGGATTTACGTTCAAGCTGACGACGTCTTTTCCGTTCAGTTCTCAATTCCTGAGAAAACCATGGACTACTGGACCGGAGTTTAATCTTCTTAGTCTTAAAAGGAGCATGACGGATATTTTCATTCATTTTATTAATTATGGTTATAAAACACATTGTATTTTTTGATTGGAACTAATAATAATAATTTTTTTGGAACAGTGGTGGAGTTAGTGCCCAACTAAAGTTTTCAAAATAAAAAAAAGAGAAAAAAAAATTATACAAGGATAAAAGGCTGTCTCTTATACACCTCTAGATTCATATGACCACACAGGGCCACACTCATCAGGCGAATTGTAAAACATGAATGACACAATATCCCAGGGTTTATAACTTAAATGGCTAATCAGGAAGTCGAACTAAATTACTATGTTACAAAGGCTATTTTTTATTGTTGTGATCCAGGGATTATAATTAAATGGCTAATCAGGGAGTCGGACTGATATCATGTTATAGAGGCCTATTGTTCACCGTTGCATTATCTGTTGCTAATTAAATATTTCTTTCTATGACGACAAGTTGACACTAACTCATTCTTGCTATTGAATGAGCATAGTTCTGGATGACATATACTTTAATACTTTTCATATAAACAAAGATTGCAGCGTTTAGTCGTGTTTGAATATGGCTTACAGTGTTTCATGATTCTCCACTTAACAGTAAATTCTACGTTAGATTCCTTAAGGGACCAGATATATTTACTTAGCTCTGTGCTGTTTCTCTTATTTACATTTCGAAATGAATTCATATGATTTCTAAATCTGGTTTTGAACTGATTTTGAGTTAAGCCTATGTATGTCTCGTGCTTATTACTGTCCTCTCTTGTTACAGTTGCTTGGTACACTATGCCTTCGGTTAAACACTTGCCGGGTAGTGGGCATTCGCTTTTTACACGGCAGTTACACGCATTTGTGCTGGCGTCCACAGCTTTGTTTTTTTCATTTGACAGTACTATTTTATTGTGATTGCTAATTACACTTTTTACATTGGGCATACAGCTGTAGCTTAGTTTTAAAGTGTTTTTGTTAAATATTTTATAAAGTTTGTGATCTCGTGGAAAGCATTCTTCTATTAATTGCAGGAACTTTTTCCCAACGTTGGTGGCTACATTTCTGCTGTAGGGCGGGTTAAACCAAATTACATTTCTTGTCCGCGGTCTCTTCTTTGCTGGGGGTTCAGGATTGAACTTTAGTCGGTAATCGTACCCGCTGCACTTAAGGGCTTCCTGGTACGGTTGTGTAGCTTTGTTGAACGATTCTTCGTCTGACGAAATATTCGAGAGACGTTTATTAATGGCTGGTGGGATATTCCGGATTATTGACGGTGGGTGGTTGCTGTCGCGGTGAACATAAAGTGGTGTGTTGTTTGGCTTAGTATAGGGTCGAAAAGTACCGGTTCTTAGCTCTAGTGTTACGTCGAGGTAGTCGACTGACTTCTTGTTGGCTTCTATAGTTATTTTTAAATTATTGTCTCTAAATACCTTGCATATGTCCTTCTTTATTAACTCAACTTGCCGTGGCGATTCCTCAAATACGGCTAATCCATCATCACGGTATAAACCTATATTATTACCATACTTATTCGATAGCTGCGATAGTAGGTATGAACCTACGAGCTCGCACGTTTCGGCTCCATCGAAACTACCCATTGTAACATCGAATATGGGTTTGTCACCCCATTATTCTACTGTCATCATATTCATATATGTAGGACTGGTGACTGTCCTTGTAAAATGCAATAAGCGAGGGTTATATAATCCTAATCTGGCTTATGCCGTCCTGTATATTGTATATACAACCAGATTACAACAGTTTAATTACTATACTGGAACAGCCTCAAACGCCGGGAATCAGCGTAGATTTTTAAACCAATTTCTAAATACGCCATTTTGGAATTCATCTGAATTATGACTGTAAACACACGCATTTACAGGGTTTTTTGGATTCAAAATAGTACGTATACAGGTATGTATATCATGTCTTTCTCTAAAATTTTACACTTATATTAACTCTAATACTTTAAAAAAACATTAACGTTCAGTCAACCTAGGCCTAGACCAAGGCCCTCGGCATATTACCTAGTTTAGGCCTAGATGAACAACTTTCGGCTCAATTATGTGTGGGATAAAGCTGGGCCTCTGACTTAGGGGTGAAGGGCCTAGGTATTTAGAATTGCCAAGAGGCTCCCTACTTTGAGTGTCATAGTGGGCCCCCCTATTAGTAATTCCCTGGTGTTCTATTACCTCAGTGCAGGCCTATTTGAATTCACTATTTCTACTACTAGCCTCCTATATTAGGCTTAAGGCCTACTAGTGTATAATATAGAGCCCTATGTAGATTTTATTACAGAGGTTCTAGGC